TCCATACTAGCAAGAAATACACCAATTTGGATAAATACGACAGAATGAGTGTGAAATATTATTCTGATTTGTTTCATGGCATACCATTCAATTTAAAATTTCCAGATTCTCAAAAGCAATCAGATGTCATCCCTGTTCTTAAGTTCTTGTATAACATGACTAACGATTCTTTCGACCGACGATATATTGGATTCGTAAACGACAATCCAAGTGTTAAAATGCTTGGTTTAGCTGGGTTTGGTGACCGAATAGTTGACATGAATAAAATGTTAGACAACCCGTCACCTAGCAACGAGGAAATGGTATCAGATAACATGTATGGAACGGGAGATTTCGTGCCGTGTAATCTTCATAATTGCTTAGAAGACGGTAGTAAGCTTATGTGCTCGCTGGTAAAGGCAAGATTAATAGCTCAACATTTCATGCGAGCAGAAAATCGTCGATTCAAAATTAATATTGAAAAATTATTATGTGAATTAAAATCATAGTAAGGAGAAGGTATCCGAGTCCAATATATGTTATATTATTTTTAATATTAATTCCTTTCATTCAATTACTTTATTTTATTTTATTCTGGTGGTTATTGAAAATTTTATTAAGAATTTTATATATTTTTTAATTTTAAATAAAAGAATTAAATATTTGTCACTAAATGTATTGAATTATAATGAATGTTTATATGAAAATAAAATATTTTTAAAATAATTTTTTTTTGTGAATTTAATATAAGTTAGAGTAATTTATAAATTATTTTTATAAAAATTCAATAATAAGTATAAAAAACTACGTTTGTCCCTACAGTAATACCCCAACTCTAACAACAAGTTAATAATACGATTATTATTGTAAACATATTTAAATGAACTTTATTTTTCCAAAAATGCTTTATTAAATAACATCTTTTCTGACATAACGTTATCAGCATTAAATTCATTTGATCCTGATACAGTTATAAAACAATCTTTATCACCTTGCGAAACCAAATGGCATTCATTTAGAAAATAGTCCTTGCCAATATTAATAGTTGTCTTTGCTTGATCAGTTACTTTAACCGAGAAACCGCATAAATAATATTGACCATCAACTTCGAACTTATTTAACTGCAAAGAACCTGGCACAATATAGCCTATTGTAGTAATTAAATTTGATATACGTGATTTAATATAATCGCGAATTCTCCACTCGGTATAATTTCCAGTATAATGCTTCTGTAATTTTGCATTTAATTGATCAAGCTCCTGTATATCTCTATAGATTCCCGATAAATCAGCCATGTCACGATTATATTTTTCAAAATCAACGGAATTTAATGGTTGTTTTATCGATGATACAGGGCGAAACATTAATTTATTTCTGATTAATAATTCAAAATTTAGAATTAAATGATTTTTTATACAATCATTGCTCGTTTTGTCGTAAATGTAACCAGGATTACAAACGCAAAATTCGTAAAATTGTTGCCTGGTCAAATCAATATTGTCCATACACAAGGCATTAATCGCCATGCACTTTTCCCTGCGGTTTTGTGACAAGCAGTTATCGGTGCAAATACCTAGATCATCCATGCTTGTCCCTTCTGGACATTCGCACCGGTAGTTATATGGGCTAGTTTTCTCGATATAACAGTATGCATTTCTAGTATCACATTCTTTTCGGCCTAAACCTTCCTGACCACATATTCCTTGTAATTGACATTGCTTAGTTAGGTTATTAAATATATACAATTTATCACATAGACAGTATTGGTGACCATCTTTTTGAATTTCAGTTATCTTCCCACTTAAACAATATTCCCCAGAATCTAAAATAGTGTATTTTAAGTATGTTAGTTTATTTTATCTAACATAATAAAAGTGTTCAGTGTACTAATATTTAAATTGATACTAGTAAACTTTCTCATTTACCTGTGGGGACACATTGATTACGGGCGGTGTTTAATATATAGCCATCTAGGCATATACATTTTAGGCTCGAATCACAATAGCCATTAATCAGAGAACATTGGCAAGGTACATCCTTTTTTAGTTCACAATCAGTATTGTTAAGCCTGTTATAGTTTTCGTGACAAGCGCATTTAGAGCCAGTTTTACTTTTTACATCAACAACACAAATCTGTTGGCAAGGATTTAAACTTTGCGATTTACAAACCAATGGTTCACACTTTACATTACTCGGATTAGCAGGGTCTATAAATAATTAAAATACAATTATTTAAAAATAATAATGAAATTAATGTAATTTTAAACTAATATGAATTATATTGAGCAAGCAATCATGCAGTAGTTACTAAATAGTTAAATGTGTAATTAGACTCATTTTTAATACATAGTACTATCATAACAAAGTTAATACCAAACAATTAAATTAATTAAAATTATATTAATGCATATAAAATTTATCATTTAATTTCTAGATCCATAAACGGTATCTAGACTATATAATTATTATTGACAATTAAGGATATTACGCTCATTTTATAATCTAAATTTTAAAATACACTTTAATACTTACCATTATTTCTATGATAACCAACTGGACATGTGCACGTATATTTGCTTGGATCAATTGAATTGGTAAAACAATATGATATTGGGTCTGTGCATGGAATATATAAGCCAGCCTCTTTTCGATATACAAGGTCACAGGCATCAATTTTGACAATAGGTGATGTTTCATCCCGCTGATAATATCCATCAGCCGGCACACAGTGTGGTTTCCCACCAACATCTAGTGCGCATTGTTGATTCGTATCACATTCATATGTCAAGCACTTTGGTGATTGAAAGCAACTAGATCATTAATTTTAAATGATTTAATTTTATAAAATTTATATAATATCTATTAAATATAATTATGTCAAATTGTTGTTATGTTATTATTATAATATAATAATAATAAAACCATAATAATATTATATTACATTGGTGCAAAAGTTCTTGCCTAAATTGTCATAGAACACAATGTTATAACAGGCGAGAACTTTTGCACCAATGTAATATTAATAATATAAATTTTAGCAGTTTAAATTTGTTAAATGTCATAAAAACCTATTTTCGATTTGGATATAATAAATATACTAAATAGGACATACCCCATTACTACTGATTTATTCGTGACAGTATGTTCCCAATAGAAATCCTCGGACTTGCATTTGCACTTAAATGAATCACCTAGCTTATCAATCATACATTCATGAGTACTATGTGGATCATCCTGACAAACTTGTTTTCCTGTTTTCGATTGAGGAGTCTGTAAAATAAGATTAATATATGTTTTGTGTAAATATTATTAAATAATTAATTTTATATAAAAATTACTAAAAATATAACATATTAAGTTTAAATTTTTTAAATTAAAAATTTTTTAATTTTAAAATAGATATCATTAAATAAAGTTAACAATTTATTTCAAATATTTACTTTGTATGGTAAATTGCAGTAATTTTTGTGCTCGCATTTAGGTCCCCAATAATCACCAGTTTTATCTGTATTACAATCACCGCAAACAAATTCTAACACTCCTTTTGTTTTATCCAGTACATCTCTCGAACATGTCACTTTACTAACTTTATTATTACAATCGATTGGTTTATGTTCATCATCAACACAGGGATCATTTAGATCTAGGTTTTCAATGGTGAACAATGGCGTGAATGGCTTGGTATCATCTTTGACCCTGGTGTATGTCACTTTTAGACCCAATTTAAAAGTGCCGCCAATTTTACCAATTGAAATTTTATTAGTTGGTGTCGGTTTTGCCTATTAATGAGAATATTATAATAAGTAATATCCTGTTATATATATATATTAAATACTATACTGACATAATTTGTTTTTAATGAAATAATTTTTTTGCTCTAAAAATACTAATCAAACAAGCAAATTTTATTTACTAACTAGAATAAAATTTTCTAAAATATTTTAATTTAATTATTATTACTTTTTTATAATAATTTTATAAATTCACGTACTTTATCGTTTATTAGTTTGTCACCAATAACATCAGTTGCTCCGGGTGTCTCGGTCATTTTATCATCGAATATCACAAACTCGATCGCATAACCAGTAAATCCTTTGGAAATGTCAAATCTCAAATTGACCGTGTCACTTGTTTTTGAAATCCATTTACTAATTAAATACGATGTAATTTTTGTTCCAATATTTTTTGCTACAATTAAAAGGTTTATTAAAATTCAACAATAATTTAACAAACATTTAATTATGTATTTATAAAATTAAACTTACGGTTAAATTCGAATTCATTGCTTTTATCTATATTATTCCAAAATGCTTTTTCTTTTGATGGCGGATTTGGTATTTTTGTCGGAAATAACATTTCAAACGTATTTTCAGAATCTATCCAGGGTATAAATCTATTATCCACCGTAGGTAACGGCAACGCTGGGAAGGTAATATCTTTTTCCGGTATATTAACACCCATGCGTTGATCCACAGATAATGTCGTGGTAAATGTAATTGTGACATTTTGTGTAATTGTCGGTGTTAACTCAGATAGGCAAAGAATTTGCTCGCTCAAATCCACATCTACAAATTGCCTTGTATATTTTAAACCACCCGGATTAGTGCCGTAAACAACGGTAAGTGTACTACCCTCATTAGCGTAATACTTTAACGTGGAACAATAATCTTTTGTAATATCGGTAACTTTAAATGATTGAACTAAACTTTGATTAGTTTTATCGGAAACGTATAGTGGGAATACATCTTGGTTATGCAATAATTGGGGCATATTTTTATTTGACCACCCCACTTTATCCACTTCAAAAAACTCGCATGTATTTTGGGAATTACATGTTTTAGTTACTTTCATATAATTTTTAATTTGAACGCATCTATAAATGTAAATGATGTGCATAATGTGTATATGTTATAAGTATTAGTAGTATCATTATAATTATAGCAAAAAATAATTTAAATATAATATGTGAAATGGAAATTTATAATAGGTTTTTACAAAAAATTAACAATAATATCAAAAAAAGCAGTGATTCATTAATAACTCATTATTTATTATAGTATAATGTGTGAATAGTATATCAATATTCATACACTGTAAATTTTTGTAAAAGGCTACTATAAATTTCCAATTTTCATATATTTTTCATTTTTCATTTATATATAGTAATATTTAATATAAATACAACAGTTTGAAAATATTAAAGTTATAAAATTTTACATCAAATGTATCAAAACTTATAATTATATAAAACTAATTCTATAATTTTAAGTTTAATGTTATAAAATTTGTATAAAAATGAAATACGAAATTAAATATGCACTCAAATATAATCTATTGCATGTATGCCTTCGAACAACATTTAATAAATATATTCACTATATAAACTTCAGTGTATAATTATTTAAAAATTTTAAATTCTTACGTTTTGGTTTTAGCATCAAACGTGAATTCATTTTTAGGGCATTGGCATTCATAATCACTTCCATCTAATTGTTTACAGTAGTCATAATATTGTGGTAGTCTAGGCAGTGCGTCGCATAAATCTCTTGCCTATTTTGATTTAAAATTTAAAATTTTCTAGATTAATTTTTAAAAATTACTTACACTTGAGTCTGTGCAACGTTTAATCTCGCAATCATTACCGAAATATGTATTAAAATCATTGCAAGTGCATTTATAATCAACCGGGCTTTTAATACCTGAGCATGTACCTCTAGCGTTACATGGTTTTTTATCGCTATTTATATCGCACGGATTTCCAATAGAAATATCGTGAATTTTAACGTTAAATGTTTTTGGATCATCTTTGTCATTGCCCTTGAATGTGAATTTTAATACCAATTTAAAATATTTTGAATCTTTTGGATCAACTTTGGGAATATCGATGACTTGTCGGCCGGTTTCGCTACGAATTTGTTGCGGATTTACCGGAAATTCCTCTCCGGGTTTGTCCAATAAGATAGCTTTCCCGACAACTAAAGAGTTTTTATCAGTTTCGAGCGTTATACTCTTGGGCAATGTATAAATTTCCGGTACGTTTTCAATCCAATCGCTAATAAAATATGATTCAATTTGCTCGTTTTTCTTTACGTTAACTGAAAAAATTAAATTGATAATTAAAATATTAATTTGTAATAAATTATATGATTTATACAATGTAATTTTGTCAAAACATTACCTGAAATACTGTATGATTTTTCATCAGGACCTGTTAACCATTTAAGAGCCGTATATGGAAATGAAGTCCATTGTTGGCCCTTCTGGAACCCCGGAATCAATTTGACATAATTGTCTGATTTAATATCTTTGATATTAACATTTTTGACAATGGGAGTAAATAAAACATCATGTAGTGTATCATATTTAGGATCTTCATCTTTAGCAACAATTGATATTTTAAATTGTTTATCATTCGGTGTCATAATAAAATCTCTTAAACAAAAACCAATTTGTAATTGATCAGGGGACAAATCTAGTGCAAATAATTTTCTTGGTGCACCCGAGGGTACTACATAATTAACTTGAAGAGTAACTTTTTTAGTCTTATCTTTAAATGTGTAGTCAATGGTTGGGCACAGATCTACTTTTGTAGTACTCATTCCGATAAATTCAAAGTCCAAATGATTTTCGGCAGTTTTCGGGTGATATTTCTCAGCACTACTATCAGTTTCCCAATTGGTTGGTGTAGGCGATCCTAGTGGTGCACATTCTTTGGTGTCACTGAAATTTACATATAACAAATTAATCCAAATATTAATACACTAACAAGTTACCTTTTCCAATTGAATTTCTTATCCACATTAAGCACATCATAACATGCACATCTGTAAACTTGGTTTTTGTATTCATCACTGTCTACATTATGTGTTGAGCCAACATCATCGCACTGGCGGGGTGGGGTCATTTTATTGCAAATAGTTGTAGCTGATTTCTATAAAATAAAATAATTATACTAATTTCTCAATACCATAATAATTATAGTATACATACCCTTCCTATCAAATCATTTGACAAACACCAGTTAACCATTTCGCATTTCTCACCAGTATAACCAATCTTGCATAAACATTTGTTGGGAGTGGATTTTAAAGGATCAGCCACACCTTGATCACAAATCTTTTGATCGTATGCTCCTTTTGAATTGCATAAACCATCAACTTTTAGCCGTTCGCATGGATTGCCAAAATTTACCAATTTAAAATCAATCTTAAAAGTATAATCTTCAGGAAAACTTTCTGGCTTAAAGTATTGGATTTCAAAAAATAATTTCATATATTTGGTATTACTCATTTCATCGATTTTAAATGAATACATCCAGGTATTAGCTTGGCCTGGCTCAGATTGGCCTTTATCAACGTTTACTACATCTAGGTCAAAACATTGTCCGAGGTCGTTGCATATTTTCCCAATTACACTAAATGCGTTAAAATATTTTTCATCGCGAACTGTCAGGCTATATGTCCCGATATTTTCGGTGAAGCTTCTATCGTATAATATCCATTGACCCATTAAAATGGCTGAGCCTGGTAAATCGGTTTCAGGATTAACTAAAAATAGAAAATATGATTCATTTAAAATATAATTGAATTTCATTAAACTATAAATAATTATAGAAAAATTAAAATAATTTTATATAAAACTTTTGAATACAACTAATTTTGTAATGTTAAGATTAATTAACATATTTGACATAATCATATATAAATAAATAGTCAATGAATATTCACACATGATACATTATTATTCAAATTATTCATAAACAAATTAGATTATCAAAGTTACCTGATAATTTAAATTTATTGTCAATTACAGTGAAACTATCATATGGGTGTTGTACAGGCCATTCCTTGATAGTTAACAATGGAGATTGATATTTTTGTACTAGGCTATTAAATGATTCAACCCATTTATATTTTCCATCTGTGATTTTAGACATTCTAATAGATATATCGGTAGCCATTCTACCACCTTGTATCAAATCGACATATATATTTAACTTTGTGCTAATTGCCAACAAATCGGTCAAGCATATTTGGGTTATTTCCAATTTATTGCCATTAAAATTAACTTTAGGTTTAAATGAGAAAATTTTATTTCTACTCCGATCAAATTGCTCCTTTTCGTACGAGTAATGTAGATTAATTTCAATTGGTTTTGTGGCATAATATTCAAATCTAAAACATGTTTGCTCAGTCATCCGGACATCGTATATAGTGGTTGTGAATGTTGTTCCCGATTTCGTAAACTCTTTACCATCTTGATTATAGCAATTTTGATTCATTGCGGTAATATTACATTGCTTAATTACATCAGTTATAGGAATATCGTTACTTTTGTACGCTACTTTATCTTGATTTGTAAAATTAAGGTTGTTCATGTAAAATACTTGATGTTCGCCAGGTTTTCCAGGTAAATCGAACTCGACTATTTTAGATAAAAAATAAAATTATACCAAGTTTAATTAATATTAATTTAGTACTTTTTAAATCTTTCAATCCAATCAGGGTAGTAGTTCCAAAGGCTATATCAAAATCAAAGTCTATTAATTGTTGCCGTGTTAATACGTATTGCCGTGGCATCCAGTAATTAATAAAATTTCTATCATAGTCATTTGTTAATAAATCAACAATCTTATATGTATCGTGATCTTTTTCGTATTTAATTTTCATGTCCGGTGTATGACCTTCCATATAAGCCCATATCTAAATTACATTGGTGGTATTTAAAAAGGGAGGGAATATTGATAAAGGCACTGATTGAATAATTTAATATAAACTTCTTTACCTTGAAACTAAATACAAAGTGATTAATTGATGGATCAAGGTGTTCGTAAAAGTCTCTTTTAAATTGAATAAAATCTTGTCGATTCTTATAGTTCATATAAAAGAATTCCGAACGTTTCCCTAATAATTTGTCCTCGTTGTCCAAAAATGGCCATGTTACTCGACGATCTGATTTATCTTGATCAATTTTAACCCACTCATCGGCTACAACTAAAATTTTTAATATTTAAAGTATTGATTGTATTTAACAAGTTCAATAATTTAATATAATATAATTAATAGTATGTTTGATTAGTATGTTTAATAAGTATTTACCATATATTTAGAAACAAACTAAATCTATATTTTAACAAATACAAATGAAATAATTTATTTCTACCAATACCTATATATTATTGAATATATATTAAATTAATATAAAAATTAAAATATCTAAAAGACATACAAGAATATATTTAACAAGAAATATTAATTATAATTATTAGTTTGTTAATTGAATTTTAAGATAAATCACAATTTATGAATAATACAATGTATGTACTAGTGTTGGTTATAAATTAATATAAAATAATTATTTAAAGTGTATCAACAATAATTTACAAAATATAATATAGCATTAAACTTTTAGCTATTGATATAAGAAACTTAATTATCTATTTAGTAATTATCTACGATTGTTTTTCATTTAATTATAATTCTTAATTAATTTAAATAATTGGACTACCGGGTGCTAAAAAACCTAAGTAAAAATGTTAGCAAACTGTAACTCTAGCACAAACCAATGTAAACATATAGTATATGCAACAAACAGTATATGTTTATATGGGTTTGTGTTAGAGTTACAGTTTGCTAACATTTTTACTTAGGTTTTTTTAGCACCCGGTAGTCCAATTGTTCATGTACATAATTTTTTAATTCTTTAATAAAATTAAATATATTTATTACATATTTACTTGTATATTTTATTGAAAATAATTTTACTTAAAATAACAAATATTAAGTAATGAACAATATGATTATATAAAGAAATATACTCACTTTCAGCTGATAATTTATCTAGGCCAATTGCCAACAATAAAATAAAAGCAGCTAACCCTGTGTAGCTAGCCATTTATTAATTATACTGTTTAATAAATTCACAAATTATAATTTAATAAAATAATTTTGTGAAATATACAATTGTTTAAATAACACATAATTATCTAACCCGTGACCTTTGCATCGATTGTTAATTGTTAATATACAGTAGTTTATTGGATATAATATGAAATGCCTATATAAACACTTGACTTTATGTGATAACAATTATATTAAATTTAATACAAATTGCAAAACATTGTTATCAAAAATATAAAGGTAACAATTTATAAAAATTTCCCATACAATAAATTTACAAAACTAGTTTTAGTAATAATTTTTAAAAATATTTTATCTATTATAAATATATTATATAATAATAGTGTATTCGGTTTTGTATATTTAAAAATTTAAATGTTTATTCGGTATGAAAAAATAAAATTAAAATTAATTATCTTAAAATTATATTTATTATAAACTAAAATCCCAATTTAATAACAATACTTAAGTGACATGCACAAGTATTATTCTGCAAATTATCACAAAATATATATAAATTATCTATAACTATTGAATATAGCACATGCACAAATTCACATATAATACAAACCTATGTGAACTGCATTTCACTTTTTTAAATCTTAACTAATCAGATATTAAATGGATGATTATATAATGTTTGTAGCACCTATTACATTCTAGTATTGTGACAGTTTTAATTGTTAATTTAAGTTTTAATTTTATATATTATTTTCTTATTTTATTGGTGAATTTATGTATATATTTATATGATAAATTTATTATTGAATCTAAATGAAAGGTAAATTATTTTATAATTTTATAATCTTACTATTTAAACACAATAAGAATAATATTCAGATAATTATAGTTTTAATTATATTAAGTGAAAAATAGTATACATAATTAACTAGTTAATGTAATAACATAAGATAACATTCAAATATGTTTCATATGTCTACAAAATTAATAATAAATAATTTTTCAATATTTACAATGCATTTTAACAATATTACTGCACAGAATCGAGATTTTCTTATAAAATTATTATTATTATCCTTGTATTAGGTTTCGCACAAAGTTTTGCGAGGTAGATTTTGCAGCTTAAAAATTAAATTCTCAACAACTAATATTGGTATCAAAAATATTTTTGAACCTCAACTATGGTTTTGGCTTTTATGTATTCTCCCGAAGAGACTACTT